GGTCAACCACGAAGGAACTGTTTCAAGTGCTGAGGAGCAAGGATGTCTCCTTGAGGACTAAGGTGCGCCTGACACAAGTCATGATATTTCCAATTGCCTCGTATGCATGTGAGAGCTGGACAGTGAATAAGGAATACCGAAGAAGAGTTGATGCTTTTGAGTTGTGGTGCTGGCGAAGAATGCTGAAGGTACCATGGACTGCTAAAAGACCTAACAGATCTGTCCTGGAGGAAGTGCACCCGAAATGCTCCTTGGAAGCGAGAATGGCCAGACTTCATCTCACCTACTTTGGTCATGTTGTTAGAAGGGACCATTCCCTGGAGAAGGATGTCATGCTTGGTAGGGTAGAGGGTCAATAAAAGAGGGGAAGGCCTTCAATGAGATGGGTTAATACAGTGGCTGCCATGATGGGCTCAAGTATAACAGGGATCATGGAGCTGGTGTGAGATTGGGCAGTGTTTCGTTTTGCTGTGCATGGGGTCACTATGAGTCAGAAACGACTTGACGGCACCTAACAACAACAACATAACAACTGGGGCAAAATACTTGTCTCCAGTGTCTGTATCCTTGTTGCTTGGAGATCTCTATGTGGCATGACATCTGTCTTCCCTCCTCTTGGCTTGCTCGCTCTGCTACTCTTATTCCTTCTTTCTATTTTCTTTTAATGTGAAACATACAACAAGACATTCACTAACATAACAACTTCTACATTTACAACTCAGGGACAATGATAACATTTTTCCTGTTGTCTCACCATCATTGCTATCCTTTTCCAAATATTCCACCACCATTAGCATAAACTCAATGTCCCACAAACAAAAGATTCCCCTTTGCCACTCCCTCGTACCCCAGGAGCTGACTGTGGAACAGACCATCAACTGCTCATATGCAAGTTCAACCTGAAGATGAAGACAATTAAAACAAGTCCACAAGAGGCAAAAAATGACCTTGATTACATCTCACCCAAATTTAGAGACCATCGAAAGAACAGATTTGATGCATTGAACACCAATGACGAAAATAGGAGGAATTGTGGAATGACATCAAAAACACCATACATGAAGAAAGTAAAAGGTCATTAAAAATACAGTAAAGAAAAAAAAAAAAAAAGA